CATCTCTCCATAGGACATAATTACGGTTTCAACTACTTTTCGTCTATTGAACTAAAGTGGATGTGTCAATCTTTAAAGGATGCAGTGACTTGTTTAAAATTTAACTATCTACATACACATTTTACTTTTTTTATTTCACTTTTCTTTAACTAAGTCGATTTCATTTAAGGAAGAATTGATTTCTGCTGCGTTTGGCATTATCAGCGCACTTTCAAAATAAGATTAACATATAATTTGCAATCGTTTGCCTTTTTTTAAAAATATCTATAAAATTGATAATTACTTTTCTCTGGTTTTCCTACTCCTGCTGTAAAGTGCTTTTAAAGGCTTATACATATACGAGTACATAAGTTCAATAGAAATAACTTTAAAGGTTATAAAATTTTCCTTCAAAAAAAATTTTTTTTTAAAATTTATCAATTATTTCTTGTTGCATAGAAAAAATTAAAAAAAAGAACAAATTGTAACTCAGTTCTAAACATTTTTTGAACAAAAATTTCAAAAGTTTTTCTTTTCTATACTTTTTTTGCGACTTTTTCTGTCAGTACAGAATTGAGATAAAATTCAAATTTTTTAAGACTTCACTCAAAAGTTGTTCAAAAATTACGAGGAAAAAATTATATTTCTCTAAGTCTTATCCTTTGGGGGCACAAAATTTAAAATTTTTTATCCAAAAAAAAAAAAAATTTTAAATGAAGCTGGTAAAACAGATTTAATCCTTAAAATGAAAAAAAAAGATAAAATATTTAAAAAGATAATTGAGTTGTCTGCAAAGTTTATAACATTGTCAAAAATTGCGTAGAGGAAAATTCAAATGAAGTAATCCAACAAATTTGCTGTGTTATGTTTGGTGGCCGATCGGGGTCGTAGGAATAAGTGTTTACAACGAGAAGGGATTTTAGGATTTGACAACATAAAGTAAAATTGAAGTTCGTTTCCGAAATTATATGTACAGATAATTCTCTTCATTTAAAATATATTCTTATAGTATTATAATAGTATAAATCCTATTCATATAAAATGGATGGTGTACAATACGTATTAATCATTTGAATTATGCAGAGTTAAATTAGGTCGTTTGAATGTATTATAATATAAGGCCTAATATTAATATCAGAGCAGCAAAAAAATACTCGCAGTTACCGAAAGAAAACATGTGAAGCAACAACAATGCTCTTAAAATCTTCAGAGTTAGGTTTTACTCGCAAACAATTTTAAGTTTCAGTGCAGCCAAATTCTAAAATTAATCTATTGTGATTCACTAGAAAAATGTTGCAAAATTCTAGTCATCCGTTTAAATCATATGAGCAGAAATTATAACAAATTGCTATATATCAAAAAAATTACATAAAATATTCTTACCAATTTTGTTTTCTTTTATTTAAATTTATTCATTTTTATTGTTTATAATTTTTATATTTCATGTTGTACACAAGAAAAGTGATGCCAATTTGGTTTAACCAGACTAATGTTGTTTTTTTACAATTCTGCAAGTATGTTCATAATTATGGCTGCTATTAAATGCTCTACCATATTTCCTGATTAAAGTTTTAGTTTAGTAAACTAGGTACATAATTATTGAGTGGATGAAGTCATAATACATCAAAATAATATACAGAATTGATCGACATAAGTATGCTGAATTAAAATAGTAAGTATAGTAAGTCTATATGTAGAACTTTGAATGCTTCTGTTCGTATCTCATCAGTTGATATTGGTAGGCTTTTACGTTAGTTTCACTATAGACATATATATATATATATATATTTGGTCGGGCTACGTTATGCTTATATTTATTGATGTCTGGATATTACCGATAAAGGTTGTCAGTGTTGACGGTTTTACGGCTTTAACTGCTCTTATACTTGGAGCAATAGACGATCCTTTTGCATGAGAGCGGAAGACGGGATGCCAGTGATGCACTTCATATACTTCAGATGTGGATATATGAAATTGCTGATTTATAATGTAGTGAATTGTTGGTGTAAATTTTAACAATGGATAATATATAAAGATACCGACAATATACTGAAGACATTGACTTGTAGCTGCTAAATGGTTAGATATGTGCAAGATGGAAACATAGCTCTTATATTAAAACCTATAGTTTTTAAGTTCAAGCGACTGAAGGTTATTTTATTTTTTCATTTTAATTTCTTTTTATTTTTTATTTGAATGTTTTCGCTGAACGAATGTTCATTCAAGTATCTAGAATGTCCATTCTAGCCTTTTTGATTTAATAGAAAAATTTTCATTAAAATTTATTTTGAAGTAATTTTTTTAAATGGTTTCCATGTAAAAAATTGAGCATTTATAGCTATGTCAACTTATTTTTTATATTCATTAATCACAATATATTGAAAATATCTCGAAGCCCTTTGGATCGATATTGGAAACCCATACTTTTTGTACTTTCTTTTAATCATTTTAATTTTTTTTTACTTTTTTCTCATTGTCTACTTTCCTTTTTGTTTGTATTTTTTGTTTTTCTACTTTGTATCATTATATCGATTCACTAGATTTTTTTCTAAATATTTTATATAATTTTTTATTAAGTACTAAATTTCAACTTAAGCCTTTTCAACTCAATAAGTACTAACAATTTTATCCCATAAATTTGTTTCATTTTATTTTATCCCACGAAGTTTTGAATTGTTTCCATTTTCTCTGCACTTCAACTTTACTTCATAACAGAATTTTGTGAAAGTTATCCCAAATATACTTCAAAACTGAACTGAATTATTAAAACTTTTAATCCACTCAATTGTGGATGCTTCTATGGTGTGTGCTTTTGTCGGGCTCTACGCACTTGTTAATTTAATCAAATTATAAAAGGTTTTAGCAAAAGTGTTAGGGAAAAAATAAAACAGTTAATCGATATGAAAATAGATTAATTGGTTATTAACTTAAAGATTAATCAAATTTTTAAAGAAAAGTGGTTTTTAGTCAAACTGTAGTAGTTTTGTAGTTTTTAATAAATCTTATATCATTTACTCCTAAATTACCACAAACATTGATACCGTATACTTTGGTATCAATTGAAGTAATTGTAATTGAAGTAAAAAACATTGTGAAGTCAAATTATTAAATTTCCTTAATCTTTTTAATATTACAATATTACAATGTTATGCCTCATAGCGCTTAAATACAATTTCAGGTGAATCATATTACTACGAAATTTCATTAATATATAAGACGGCGACAGCTAATTGCACTTAAACCTCAAACGAACCCATGTGAAGCACTCATAGATATATCATACAAAGCAAGATTTAAGTTAGTTAAATAATAAATAACAATACTAGCTTCGAAACGATCACAGAACTCAAATATCTTGAAGTGGTACTGAGTCCTAAAAACGACAGATCAATTACCATATAAAATAGAATTGAAGCAGCAAATAAGACTTACTACGTACATATAAAATTTTTTAAAACTAAAATCTTATCAAAACAACAAAATCTCCGTTTGTGTTATTGCTTAATTAGGCCAGTTCTGACAACCGGCTATAAAGTGTGAAAGCAAACGAAACATGACAACTACTATCCCACGAACGGAGTGAAATGAGAAAAATTTTTGGTCAAGACGTCTAGATGCTGACATATATTTGCTATAACCACCAATTAGAGAAGTTAATTGATAAGTGGATTGTAATATGATAAAAAAAAACATAAACATAACACTCATACCTCGTCACTTGGCTAAGTGACGAGGTATGACACGACAACGATAAGCACTTGTAAGAAACCTAATTGGATCCCGAAGAAAAGGCAGACCTCGAAAAAGGTGGCAAGATGATGCTGATAATGAAGTTAGACGTGAGCAATTGGAAAACTTGGCATCGGTTCGATTTAGATGGCAAAAATTGGCCGAGGAAGCACTGATCTCCTCAGAACTGTTATGCTAAAAAAGTAGAAGAAGAAATATGAAATAAAGTAATACTTATATATATATCATAATAGTATCTTAGCAGCAAATATTAGGTACATTCAAGATTTTCAACAAAATAAAATAAAGGACTTTTTATGCATTTATTACTAATCCAAGCTCATGCATTGTGAATGAAATATTTTTTTATTAGATTTTCATAAAATCAGAATCGCGAAAACTTCACGTTTAAAACTTGCTAACGATTTGTATATAAAACTTAAAGAAAAATGACAACCATATGATATACATACCTTTTGCATGTATTTTATAAACATAAAGTCTTAAACCCTATCCATCACCTCATGTAAGTAAACGAAATTATTTATGCAACTGCTTTAAAATTTACTCGTTAAGTTAAAACGTGCATATCCTGAATTCGTTCAGATTAGCATCGCGGATGATTCACGCCCTACTCATTAGAATTCATGTAAGTGGGCCTTAATCACATTACACGTTATTTATTTACGGAATTTTTTTCTTGAGATACTCCATCGCGTGTCTGTGAGCTTAATTTGCCTGATACGAAAGCACATTTTCTTCTCAGCCTTTTATCTTCCAATTTACATTTTTTCCTTTACTTCTTGTTTAGTTGAACCCTAAGATAGAGTCATTTTTGCAGGTTTTGCATAAATTGATTCCGTAAATTGCAAAATAATAGTTTAATAAATTATAATAAATTTTTATCCCTTAAGTTTATACTTATATCTTTCTACTTTCATTTTATGCAAAATAAGTGAAGTTTTTGCTTATAAAATTGATTTGTTTTAAATATCATAAAAATTTAACAGGCCAATTAAAATAGTGAGTTATATTTAATATAATGTGAAAATAAACAATATATATTAATTAAAATATATTAATAAAAATTTATATTCGCATAAGTTTAAGAAAGTACAATGTATCTAAAATCATCGAACTTATAAGTTACAATGTATGCGAATGACTCATATCATGACGATATCATTTCAGATATCATTTAACATATATATATTTTTGATATTGTGAATAAAACTCTATTTACTTAATTATTTAGTGTTTTATTTATTAAACACGAAAAATTTTACAAGAAATTTTGTGACAAAAAATAAAGGAACTGGTTCCAGTCAGTCATTGGTTCACTTCAGCTTAGTTGTTGTGGAATTTATACAGACTTGAATACGACCTTTTGAACTTTGTCATACTTTGTAAAAACCTTATATATTAAAATAATTTCATAAATATATATCGAAATTCTCTATTTTTATATGCATACCTTATTGTCTCACAAAAATTTCTGCACAGGATATTTATACCGGCATAATTACCTCTTCATTTTAGAGAAATCTACACATATGACCTGTTATTTTTAGACCAAGTAAATTGAAAGCAGCATATTATTTTTTTCTATCGGAAGGATCGTTTCTGAGATGTATAAAGGTACATACTTGTGAAAGTATGGCTTTTTTTGGAAAGCATTGCTCTGGCACTCAACATTGAGATTAACCATAAAATCAACAGAAGACAGTCTTCAGCTTCCAATTTGATCAGATACACCTTGCATTCATCGCTTTATGATACCGCAACACATTTCTTGGTCTTTGAATGCAATTCTGTCAAAGACATATACTTATTTTGAATTCACTCAAACTTACGTTTTATCATATTGAATATTCTTAAAGTCTATATACATATTACTTTAAAATATACCTTAAGTTTATTGAGTTCTTATTTGCAACATGAAGGTGTCACAAAAAATGAATAAATCTAATCATGTTCTAATTTTGTCCGCAAAACCTGTTGAACCATTTCAAGGAGCTTTGTCTTACTATTTCGTGCCTTTAATTCTTCATTGTTAGTCGCTTTAACCCCACTGATCCTTTCTTGGAGTTTTTCAAGTTTCGATTTTGCCTGTCAACGTTATTATAATAAATAATTTGAATATATTACTGAAATCAACTCACTTCTTCCCACTGGTCTGCTGTGATACTATCTGACTTGGATGACGAAAATTTACGACTATGAATAAACAATATATTAATTAACTTTAAGTCAAAATTAAATGAAAATTATTCCACTTACTTTTTTAATTGATCACAAACTAATTTACTGACTCTAATTGCACTAAAAAATTTTGACATATTTAAATTTAGAAAAAGGACCAAAATTTTTAAAACAACTTTCATAAAAATAAAATTTATAATGAAAACATATAATGAATTTTGAAATATTATTTATTCTGAAGAAGTTTATAGAAATTTGGCTTACTAGAACTTAAAAAAATATTTTTATTTTAAATTATATTCTTCAAAATCTTTTTTTTGAAAAAATCCAAATGACCTGGAAAAAGGTGGTCAATCGCTTACATATCAATTGGTGTGCAAGGTTTAAAAAGATCGCGTCAATATCGTTTAAAAATTAAAATAGTGTGAAGAGTTTTCGTTGATTATTGTGGTGTCATCTATTTCTTTCAATATTTTTTTGAAGACGTCAGTGGTAAACAACAACTGTCTATCAGGTGTGCTCTCGGTAAGCAGCAATAATGGTTTCTGATAGATGGCGCAACACCTCATAAAGTTAAAATCGATTTTTTGAAGCCATTATGTCCCGGTCGTTTGATTTTAAGAAATGGTAATTTTGATTGGCCTTCACATTCTATAGATTTAATACCAAGAAATAATCACCATAGAGGCTAAGGACGACCAAATTCAATGATTTTAACTTGAACAGCAAAAAATATGTTAATTTTTTTGTTAAGGAAATGGGTCCACGTGATATAGCCAACCATGTATAATTTGAGTTTGTTATAAAGTAGTATAAAACTACTATTTAATAAAACTAAAAAAACTTTGACCAAACAACGACGAATTTTTTATATCAAAATCGAAATCCGTTTTATTTACAAATTTACTTAACATTTTGGCATGTGTTTGTGGCAACAAAAAGCAGAGTACATATTAGATGGAACCACAAAAATATTTAACTCTTCGTAACTTTATTTGTCTATCCAGTTAAAACCCTAAAGTATTTTGTTTTCTATACTTTTTAGTAAGTTGTGGTTTGTTATTCGGGATTTGGAGTTTCTCAGATTTGTAACTCAGAATATAAAATAAATTCCGAAGCAACCACAACAATTGTGGCGACAGGAATTTTTTAAAGCAAATGTTATATGTCAAAGTAAATTTAATGATTGGAAAATATTAATGAATAAATGAATTTTTTATTAGCCAATAATAATTGGCTAATAAGGAGGTTTGTATAACCTCCTGATCGACAGAATCATATAACAGAAACCCTGCAATGCATATTGTAGTCCGCTCTGGTCAGTGGTTTATTGAAAGTCTAGCAAAGAAATTGCACATTCATTGCAATACTCATCGAAGAATTTGTGGAAACTTACTTCAGTAATCATTTAAAGATATCGATAATTGTTTCATTGTTACTACCGTCTGCGCTCTGAGGAGGATTAGCATCGCATATACACTCAGAAAAATAATTTGATTTAAATGATTTAAATTGATTTTAACTAAATCAAAGGTTAAGATATTCTTACTCGGTGTATCATGATGGTTCTACTATACATGTTAGTTTTTATATCTTCTTAACCATATTAGTTAAAATTTTTCTAACAAAATAGTCAAGTCAATTTAACAAGTATGTAGTTAGAACATATTGTAGGAATTCTATCAGTTTAACAGTTTTTTTTGATGTTATAGTGTCCCGGAATCAATATTAGGCGTATTCGGTGGCTCGCAAGTACTGCAAAAAACAGCAAGTTGTTGGCCTATGCAGGCTTATACTGGCCGCAATGTACGCAAAACAACAACACTATTTTCTCCACCTCGGCCAGCATAGTTATGCTGGCCAACCACATCGGCCAGTAAAAAAAATGTTACCAACGCAATAAGCGAACTATTGTGAACCTTCATTGAAAATTCCAACGAATAGTGCAATCAAATGTCAAAATTTGAGGAAATAAAAATTCAAACAGAATTCAAAAATTTGAAAAATCTTGAAAAGTAACGAAGAAATAATAAGAATGGAGAAATCGTGAGTATTAAGCACATTGAATTTTTTATTATGTTAGTTATTACAAAGTAACATTTATTTTATTTCATTTCATTTGTAGCTTACATACGTAAAATTAATAAAACAAACATAATTTTTAAAGTTTTTCTAAAAAAATTTTTTATAAAAATACACGCAAACTATGGACCACAAAGTTAAGTTAGTTTCTATAAATGTAACAAAATTTTCTATTTAAAAAATTACAATAAATATATTAATTAATAAACTTTTCTTAACAAATTATTAAAAAGTCTTTCCCTTCTATTATTACCATGATCTAATTCATGTTCTTCATCCGCTTGCTGTTCGTCATTGCTTTCATTATGACTATTTGATTCAGCATTCTTGAATAAATCATTCTTTATAATACAAATATTATGTAAAATACAAACGCTTACAACTATATTTGTTATTGCAGCCAAATTTGTTTGCTCCGTAAATTTTAATAATCTTCGAAAACGAGTTTTTAGTAAACCAAAAGCGTTCTCAACTACAATACGAGCAGATGAGTGTTTTTCATTAAATTTTTTTTGGCTATCGGTTAAATTTCCATAATTTTTGTAAGGTGACACAATCCAGTTTGTAGAAGATTAAGCAGAATCTCCAATAATAAATGTCGAGTTTGGAAATATTTCTTCGTATCTTGATCGACAGTACCTACAAAAATTTACTTATCTTAGTGTTTTATTTTTAAATTTCCAATATTCATACCATTCCTTTTAATTCCGTGTTCATTTTAATTTTATAATATTTTTATAAAAATATATTTGATTTATATGCACATATACAAGATTTGCTGTTTGTCAAAACAAAACATTTGACAGATTGCAACAGTGATGCCAATGACTCGCGTGGCCAACATAGGCCAACATGCATTTTTTGCCGTACTTGCGAGCCACCGAAAAGGCCTATTAGGAGTGCCCTGAAAACACTGTTGAGTTCATTTAAAGCAGTCTGGGAGTTCTGACCCATATTAATCCTAGTATTATCGAGTTCACTGATTTGATGAATGTTATATATAATACATATCAGTTTTAAATGCCGCATGTCTACTTTTAATACCTAAACCCTTGATTGCTTGATAAAAACTTCAGTGATTTGGTGACATATAGCTAGTTACTATCCTTCATCATTTGAGAAGCTTGTAAACCATTTTTTCTGGAGTAACTGAAAGTTAATTAGTTTCTACTTTATTTTCTTAAATGACATTATTTCAAAGCAATAAAGATTAGCACAATTTTATATACAAAGCTTGAACTTCTAGATAATATAAAGACTCATTAAATATCTGAAAATATTTGCAAGAAATTGTAGAAAAAGGAGTTATAAAACACGCCAAAGAGATAGTAGTATATTTGGAACATATTTCAAAAATGAAAAGCACTTAGATTCTCTGAATAATTTAGAGCCACTAATGCACTAAGAGTAAGAGTAACTAAGTAACCTTTAATTATTTTGAAATGCGTGCTTAAGTACCACTTAAAATTTTATCAAATTTATTTTTTATGTTAAATTCACGTTTAAGTCTTCACAAATTATATGTGAAATAAGGAAAATAATTCGAAATAAATTACTGTATTGAGGAAGTAGTTTTAGGATATATTTATGCAATAAGTGCAATTTAGTTAAATAAAATAAAAGTACTCGAAAAATTGTTACTTCAATGTTTATGTTACAGAAAGCTTAAGTGGGAGATAAGTGGGAAGTGACTTTAAATAGGATCAAGCAAATTATCTCACATCCATAGAAACTTATACACATATAAGTGATACAATTTGAAATTATTGACAGCATCATATCAAATGATATCGATATCAATTCATTATTTTCCCTATGAATGTTTTTTTAATTTTCCTAGAAACAAGCCTGGATACATGATTGTGAAAATAATGATTATGGAAAGTAAGGAATGTTTTAAGCGTATAAAATTTATAAGAAATCTGAGAGGTTCTATAAATGGCAAAATAATCGTTATTAACAACTGTGCTTTTATATGAATACGGATGAATAAACCAGGATAACAAGAAGTGAAACAATTCAATGTTCTCTACCAAGTTCTTGTAGCAACTAAACAATACAGATAAATAATTATATTTAAATCAACAAAAAAAAAATTGAATCAAAAATTTTTTTTACATAATAAACGTATGAGAAATTTCGCATTAATATTTAACATATCTATTTATTTTCTAAAATAATTTACATGAGGTATATTTTTTCTGCCAAATTTTTATTTAATTCTTTTTCTATCTCCGATATTCGATATTCGTATACCAACTTTAAATACGAAAAAAAATAAACTGTAATAGTACAATATAAATATCAGAAAATATATTTTCTTCGCCAACGAGTTGAAATTGTCTCCTAAATCTTAAAAATAATTTACAAATAAGCAAAGATATTAGAGATATTTGATTTAATTATAGGAATAAAATAAAACTGCATATATTTAAATTAATGCCATCTTTCAGGTCATTTTCTGCCACAGTTCCCCGTTTTCTGTCATTAATTTAGTCGATAGTCACATTTAATAGTTGCTCTAAAATTCTGGCTTTAAAAAGACTAATTAAGATTCTTTGGTATATTAAAACAACAGACATGCATAGAGATCTAAGAATTGACTCAGTGAAAAAATATATCAAGGATAGAGCCCTAAAATTATTTACAAAAGTTGATACGTTGCCCAACCCCGCCCTAAAATACCTTAAGTCCACCTCAGGACGCACAGGAAGATATGCTTATCTACGGTCCGTCAACAGCTAAAATATAAATAAATGATAATAATTCTAGTATAGTTAAAGCTTAGTGTGGGGCAGGGATAAGTACCCAGTCACAAAAGAGTAAAAGTGCGCAATAGCACTAATTCAAATCACAACAACAAAATTTTAAATCATCATTTTTTGGTTGACGTGATCGAAATGAAATTTTAAAGTGTGGGTATATAGTGTTGGTATATAGTGCAGTTTCTGTACACACTATATACTTTGTTGTATATTTTGTCAGACAAATAGTTCTCTTTATAAAGTATGTCTATAATATTTCTACTATCTCATATTTTCCCGTACCCTATACTTAAGCTGCTTAGCTTTCATCTGATTTAATCATCGCTTTAAAGGTTTTCGC